GGGGTGCGCCTGGCAGCCTTGCATGTGGCACAGGGGTGCGGCTGGCAGGCTTGCATGTGCCACCGAGGTGCGCCTGGCAGCCTTGCATGTGGCAGAGAGGTGTGCCTGGCACCCTTGCATAGCCGTGCCACGCGAGTGCGCCTGGCAGCGTTGCATGTGACACAGAGCGGGAAGCAACTGGGGACGGGGTAAGCCTAGGTCAGCCACCAAAATGTACCCAGCTCCGGGAGAACCTGGAGTCGAGTCAGAACGGACCATAGTTCTCTGGAAGCCACCATGGGTAGGGATTTCTATCCGAAGAGGAGTTAGGATGTTTACTGTGGGAAGTAGAAAAGTTCCTTTTTAACGTTTCCTTTCTTGTTAAGGAGTCAGGGTGCCGGCCGGGCGCAGCGGCTCACACCGGTAATCCCAGCACTTTGGGAGGCCGAGGCGGGTGGATCACAAGGTCAGGAGATCAAGACCATCCTGGCCAACATGGTGAAACCCCATGTCTACTAAAAATACAAAAATGAGCTGGGCATGGTGGCGCATGCCTGTCATCCAAGCTACTTTGGAGAGGCTGAGGCAGGAGAATCGTTTGAACCAGACAGTCGGAGGTTGCAGTGAGCCAAGAATAAGTGTGCTAATAACTCTCTGTGAAGCCGCATCCTGTGTAGCTGTTAGACACGCCGTGCTCACAGGCACGTAGGACATTCTACGTCCTTGTACTTTCACCGAGATACCTGTGCTGGACGTGCTCACAGGCGTGTCCCAGCTCTCCATGGCTTCACCTGTTCAGAAAAGTTTTAAGTTGTCAGCCCGTCGGGTTTTAGTTTAGATGGTGAGGTCTGGCTCCAGCCCACGGAGCTCAGACACGGCAGGAAGGACGGCCCCACACGCGTCAGGGATACATGTGTGTGTTTTCCTTTGTTCATTGTGCTCTCGTGGCTCGATGGCCCGTGACGGTCCCCTCCCTGCAGCCCTGGAGGTAAAAACTGCGTTGCTGAGAGATCTTCTCCCTCAATGCTGACTTGTGTGTGTGTGTGTGTGTGTGTGTGTGTGTGTGTATGTGTGTGTGGCACTGAGCATCTATTTCCAACGTTTAAGAAGAAAGTCAATAATATGTCCCCCCAGCGACCCACCCACAGAGCTCAGCTCCAGAGGACAAATCCGGGAAGTGAGGGAGTTTGCACATCCTGGGGCAAGGGTCCCGGAAAGTGGGAATTCAGGTCAGGGAGAGGAGGCTAGAGAAAAGGCAGAATGGCCAGGCGCCGTGGCTCACGCCCGTCATCCCAGCACTTTGGGCGGCTGAGGCGGGCAGATCACCTGAGGTCAGGAGTTCGAGACCAGCCCAGCCAACGTGGTGAAATCCCGTCTCTACTAAATATAAAAATAAAAAAATTAGCTGGATGTGGTGGTGTGCACCTGTGGTCCCAGCTACTTAGGAGGCTGAGGCAGGGGAATCGGTTGAACCCAGGAGGCAGAGGTTGCAGTGAGCTGAGATCACACCATTGCACTCCAGCCTGGGCGACACAGCGAGACTCCGTCTAAAGGGAAAAAAAAGAGAGACAGAGAGAAAATGCAGGAACTAGGAACAAAGGAGGTGAGCTGGAACCAGGAAGGACGGGTGGACACAGAGGCGGACAGAGCTGTGGTGTTGGGGGCCTCTCCTCCTTCCCCTCCGCAGAGCTCCTGGGACTCCTGACCACGTGGTCCGCCTACCTCGGCCTCTCAAAGTGCTGGGATTACAGGCATGAGCCATCACTCCGGCCTTTTTTTTTTTTTTTTTAAGACGGAATCTTGCTAAGTCTCCAGGCTGGAGTGCAGTGGCACAGTCTTAACTCACTGCAACCTCAGACTCCCACCTTTAAGTGGTTCTCCCGCCTCAGCCTCCCGAGTAGCTGGGATTTCAGGCGCCCGCCACCACGCCTGGCTAATTTTTGTATTTTTAGTAGAGATGGGGTTTCAGCATGTTGGCCAGGCTGGTCTTGAACTCCTGACCGCGTGATCCGCCCACCTCGGCCTCCCAAAGTACTGTGGTTGCAGGCATGAGACCCCGCGCCCGGCCAAATAAACACGATCTCCTCTGAGTTGTTGGTTTTGAAGTGACGGACGTCACCTGTAGATGGCGGTGAAAAGGTCTTCTGCAGGAACTCCGAAGGTCTGCAGATATTGGTTCTTGCCTTCTCTAAGAAAAGAGAGAAAAGGGTGTTGGCTGTTTCAACCTAAAGACGAAGTCTGATCTTTTTCTTCCTTGCCAAAATTCCTATCTAAGGGGCCTGTGCAGTCACCCCTTATAAACCATAACGTCTCAATAGATGGGTTTTATTTTATTTTACCTTAGAGACAGAGTCTCGCTCTGTCGCCCAGGCTGGAGTGCTGTGGTGTGATCTCAGCTCACGGCACCCTCCGCCTCTCGGGTTGAAGCGATTCTCCTGCCTCAGCATCCCGAGTAGCTGGGATGACAGGCACCCGCCACCACGCCCTGCTAATTTTTGTATTTTTAGTCGACACCCGGTTTCACCATGGTAGCCAGGCTGGTCTTGAACTCCTGACCTCAGGCTATCCACCCGCCTCGGCCTCCCAAAGTCCCGGGATATCAAGTGTGAGCCACTGCACCGGGCCTACCATTACTTTTAATGGCAAAAAAAAAAAGAAATTACACTGTTTGTTTTTGAGACAGAGTCTCATTCTGTCGCCCAGGCTGGAGTGCAGTGGCGAGATCTTGGCCCACTTCAACGTCCACCTCCCGAATTCAAGTGATTCTCCTGCCTCAGCTTCCCAAGTAGTTGGGATTATAGGTGCCCACCACCGTGCCAGGCTAATTTTTGTATTTTTGGTACAGACGGTGTTCCGCCATGTTGGCCAGGCTGGTCTCAAACTCCTGACCTCTGGTAATCCACCCGCATCGGCCTCCCAAAGTGCTGGGATTACAGTGGCGTAAAAAACTCAACTACATTTGCCCCAGCCTGGTACAATTCAAGCCAGTAGGTTGTTGTTCTGCACCCCTGTTCCGAATCCTTAATCCTCAATCCCTGTTCTGAATCCTCTTCCTTCTCTTCCCTTCTTCTCCTGCCAAAGCAGCATGAATGATGTTCGCCTGGGGTCACATCCCTGCAGAAGTGGGTGACCTCTGTCAGCCAACACCAAGCGATTTCTACGGTCTGCTCTGGGCAAGCAATCCTACCAAGGTCATCTTTGCTCCTGCAAGAAACCTGCCCTTTTACCTCCTCCAGGAGCTCACCTGCAATGCCGGCACTGTGGGAGGCCAGGGCAGGCAGATCACTTGAGGTCGGGAGTTCGAGACCATCCTGGCCAACATGGCAAAACCCCCTCTTTAGTAAAAATACAAAACTAAGCTGGGTATGGCGGGTGCCTGGAATCCCAGCTACTCAGGAGGCCGAGATGAGAGAATCTCTTTTTTTTTTCTGAGTCAGAGTTTCACTCTTTTTGTACAGGCTGGAGTGCAATGGCGTGATTCAGCTCTCTGCAACTTCCCCCTCCCGGGTTCAAGCGATTCTCCTGCTTCAGCCTCCCAAGTAGCTGGGATGACAGGCATGCGCCACCACACCTGGCTAATTTTTGTATTTTTACTAGAGACTGGGTTTCTCCATGTTAGTCACACGGGTCTCAAACTCCCGGCCTCAGGTGATCCACCCACCTTGGCCTCCCAAAGTGCTGGGATTACAGGCGTGAGCCATTCTCTGGAACCCAGGAGGTGGAGGTTTCAGTGAGCCCCTTCACGAACCCCGCAGGGGGAGTCCTGAGACTCGGTCACTGCCTGGACAAGACACGATCCCTACCTCACAGCCTGTGCCAGGTGGCCCCAGCAGTGGTAAGTGGTCCTGGCCATGTACAGCAGCATACTGCACTGTGAGGTCGGGCTGATCCTGCTCAGGTAGACTCTGGACATCTCCGTGTTTCCATAGAAAGCTGACACACACAAAGAAAACAGAGAAAAAGCAGTGAGATTCCAAGTCCCTGCTGCACAGATGCTCCCCAGCACGGCAGCACAGTGACTTCACGTAATCCCGGCCTGGGAGCACCGACACCCCTACCTACAGCCGGGGGCTTCCACGGAAGGCACAAAGGGGACCCCAGGAGGCTGGTACCCCCAGTGGTTTCACCTTCTACAAATCCCATTGAGAGTTTGGCTGGAGGAAGCACAAACGCAGATGAGCCATGAGAGAAAACATACATTATACTCCACAGAATGTTTAAAATAACTTAATGACCCCAGGCACGGTGGCTCACACCTGTAATCTCATCCCTTTGGGAGGGCGAGGCGGACAGATCACTTGAGGTCAGGAGTTCGAGACCAGCCTGGCCAACATGGCAAAACTCCGTCTCTACTAAAAATACAAATATTAGCCAGGCACGGTGGTACATGCCTGTAGTGTCAGCTACGTGGGAGGCTGAGGCAGGAGAATCATTTCAATCCAGAATCATTTCAATCCAGGAGGCGGAGATTGCACAGTGAGCTGAGATCACACCACTGCACTCCAGCCTGGGCAACAGAGTGAGACTCCATCTCAAATATGCATTTGGGCCAGGCACGGTGGCTCACGCCTGTAATCCCAACACTTTGGGAGGCCAAGGTGGGCAGATCACCTGAGGTCAGAAGTTCAACACCAGCCTCTACTAAACACAAAAAATTAGCCAGGCGTGGTGACGCATGCCTGTAATCCCAGCTACTTTAGATTCTGGGGCAGTAAAATCGCAGAGGTTGCAGTGAGCCGAGATTGTGCCACTGCACTGCAGCCTGGGCAACAACACTGAAACTTATGTCACAAAAAAATAAAAATAAAAAAGAAATATAGCCAACCCCATCATTCACATCACGTCTCTGGCGGTTTTTTCTTCTTGATTTTTCTTTTGACGCAGGGTCTTCCTCTGTTGCCGAGGCTGGAGTGTCGTGGTGTGGTCACAGCTCACTGAAGCCTCGAACCCCTGGGCTCAGGCAATCCTCCTGCCTCAGCCTTCAGCTGAGGTAGTTAGGACCACAGGCTCATGCCACCATGCCTGGCTAATTCTGTATTTTTTGTAGAGATGGGATCTTGCTACATTGCCCTGGCTGGTCTTGAACTCCTGGGCTCAAGCAATCCTCCTGCGTCCACCTCCAGAATAGTTGGAACCACAGGCGTGTACCACGACTCCCAGTGAATGTTTGTATTTTTTTTTTCTTGAGATGGAGTCTCGCTCTGTCGCCCAGGCTGGAGTGCAGTGGTGCGATCTCGGCTCACTACAACCTCCGCCTCCCGGGTTCAAGCCATTCTCTGTCTCAGCCTCCTGAGTAGCTGGGAGTACAGGCGCCCACCACCATGCCCGGCCAATTTTTGTATTTTTTTCATTAGTGATGGGATTTCACAGTGTTGGCCAGGCTGGTCTCGAACTCCCGACCCCGGGTGATCCGCCCGCCACGAACTCCCAAAGTGCTGGGATCGGAGGCCCGAGCCACCGCTCCCGGGCTGGTCTCACTTTTTACAGAACACGTGGGACGCCGAGGGTGCCCACTTGCAGGCCTCCTTCAAAACGCCCACGTCCTCACCTTGTCCTCCCCTGGTCTCCACTGTGAGCAACTTCAGGGACACACAGGCATCCAGCAGGCGCTCCATCGCGTGGTAGCTGGCTCCCACACCTGCAGCCACGGCAGCCACGGCCAGGGGCCCTGGGGCCTCCGCGAGAAGGTCAAACACGCCCAGCTCACAGGCGGCAAAGAGAACCTTGCAGAAGGGGCAGAAATAAAACGTGAGCGCTCAGCCTCTTGGGAACCAGAGTTCTACAAACGCATGCCATGTGGGGCTGGGGACGGAGGCATTTTTTTTTATTTTAATTTTTATTTATTTGTTTTTGAGACGCAGTCAAATGAGACTGCACCGCTATGGAAAACAGACATTTTTATTTTTACTCCTCTTTTAAAAATTATTGATTTTTTTTTGAGATGGAGTCTCACTCTGTCCCCCAGGCTGGAGTGCAGTGGCGTGATGTCGGCTCACCGTAACCTCCACCTCCTGGGTTCAAGCAATGCTTTTGCCTCAGCCTCTCGAGTATCTGGGATTACAGGCACGTGCCACCATGCCTGACTAATTTGGGTATTTTTAGTGGAGATGGGCTTTCTCATCATGTCTGCCAGGCTGGTCTCGAACTCCTGACCTCAGGTGATCCACGCACCTCAGCCGCCCAAAGTGCTGGGATTATGGGTGTGAGGCGCTGCGCCCGGCCTGGACACAATTCTTAGCACCAGATAAGACTTGAGTCTATATAGCAAGTCTTAATAAGCTACACTTTTGTACCCCTATTTTCAACTTTATGATCAGTTTATCAAGATAGTAAATGCTTTTTTTGGTTTTTTTGATGGAGTTTCATTCTTGTAGCGTAGGCTGCAGTGCAATGGCCCGATCTCAGCTCACTGCAACCTCCTCATGTGTGACATGTATAAGTTTTTTATATCTGTATATATACATGTATAAAATATGTGAATGTATAATATATAATAACTATATGAAATATGTATTACATATACATAATTTTTTATTAGACGAAGTCTTGCTCTGTCACCTGGCGGGAGTGCAGTGGTGTGACCTCGGCTCACTGGAACCTCCGCCTCCTGGGTTCAAGCAGTTCTCTTGCCTCAACCTCCTGAGTAGCTGGGATTACAGGCATGCGCCACCACACCTGGCTGATTTTGCTTTTTCAGTAGAGATGGGGTTTCTCTATGTTGGTCAGGTTGGTCTTGAACTCCCAACCTCAGGTGATCCGCCCACCTCGGCCTCCCAAAGTGCTGGGATTACAGGCGTGAGCCATGGCGCCCGGCCAATTGCAATATTTTAATAATGAAAGCATGTGTATACATACATACGTATATACAGATGATTTCCTGGTTATGATGGTTGGATTTACAAATTTTCAACTTTAAGATGAGTTGATGAAGATAGTAAACTGATACTGTATTATTTTATTTCATTTTGCTTTACGTTGTGGGATACCTGTGCTGAACGTGCAGGTTTGTGACATAGGTATCCATGTGCCATGGTATAATTTTGTATTTGTAGTAGAGATGAGGTTTCTCTATGCTGGTCAGGCTGGTCTCGAACTCTTGACCTCAAGTGATCCGCCCACCACAGCCTCCCAAAGTGCTGGGATGACAGGCGTGAGGCACCGCACCCGGCTAGGGAACGCATTTTAAGTTAGGATATTTTGTGCCATGTTGGTGTTATGGGGCTGTAGCCCCACTGGATGTCAGTGACCATCCCTCTCTGTGTGTGTGTACATTACCCGCCCCCTAAAGATATTGTAACCATGGTGATGATCCCTAATGTGGCTCAGGCTCAGACCTGCAGCCTGCCTGGGCTTTCATGCTCTTTGCACATAGATGTGAGATCTGGGCAACCAGGCTCCACCAGGGAACCCTCTTGTTGCCACGGCAACCGGCGACCCATTTGGGAAGAGCCTCCACCTGCCAGGACGTGGAAGGAAGCGCCGTGGGTCGGCTGATGGAACCCGGCTTCATCAGACGCCCCTTATGAGAGGCATTGTGACACTGCTTATGACAGGTGACCAGGAACGGAGGAAAAGTACCCCCCACCCCGAGCTTATTACTTTGCCCTTATTTATTTTTGAGATGGAGTCTCACTCCGTCGCCCAGGCTGGAGTACAGTGGCGTGATCTCGGCTCACCGCAACCTCTGCCTCCCGGGTTCAAGCAATTCTCCTGCCTCGGCCTCCCGAATAGCTGGGATTCCAGGTGCCCGCCACCACGCCTGGCTAAATTTTTGTATTTTTAGTAGAGACGGGGTTTCACCATGTTGCTCAGGCTGGTCTTGAACTCCTGACCTCGTGATCCACCCACCTCAGCCTCCCAAAGTGCTGGGATTACAGGCGTGAGCCACCGCGCCCGGCCAATTGATTGTTGTTTTCGGGGATAATAAATGTTATCTTCTTATGGTGTTCACTGCTGGTCTAGGAAACCTGCATTCACTAATTGTGTTACGAGTGCACAAAGATTGATTTTCTTAAGGTGGTCTTAAGTTTTGCTGTGTTAAGGGTGCGTTAACTCTTGTTCTGTTGCCCTTGTGGTCATTCCCTGGATGTGGCATCATGTGCACTGAAGTGACTTTTCTCCCAAGATTTGGATCCCACCTGTGTGTGACGTTCCCCTTCCTGTGTCCCTGTGTTCTCATTGTTCAACTCCCCCTCATGAGTGAGAACATGTGGTGTTTGCTTTTCTGTTCTTGTGTCAGTTTGGTGAGGATGGTTTCCAGCTTCATCCCTGTCCCTGCAAAAGACATGAACTCATCCTTTTTCATGGCTGCATAGTATTTCATGGTGTCTCTGTGCCACGTTTTCTTTATCCAGTATATCATTGATAGGGGAGGAATAGCAGGGGGTGGAAGAGGTAGGGGAGGGAGAGCAAGGGGTGGGGGGATTGGGGAGGGAAGGCATGAGGAGCAACACATAACACAGATAATGGGGGGACGGAAGCAGCAAACCACGATGGCACGTGTATACCAATGTAACAGTCCTGTATGATCTGCACATGGACCCCAGAACTTACAGTATTATTAATAAATTTTTTCAAAAAAAGAAACCACCAAACCACCCCCCTGAACACCACTGTGAACCACTGGCTGGCTTTGAACCAGCAGCCGGCAGCCCCAGAGGGCCACAGGTGTTCAAATGAGGTAAAGGTAGCAGGTTTCTATTACCACACTTACTCTTAAACAAGAAAGGAAACTTTAAAAAGGAACTTTTCTGCTTCCCACAATCTCTCAGGTCTCCCCAAAGTGCATAAAACCAAGCTATGCCCCGACCGCCTTGGGCACATGGTGTCAGGACCCCCTGAGGCTGCGTCACGGACACACGCCTTTAACACGGGCCAATAAACCTGCTACAATGATTGACACTCGTCATTTTTCTTGATTGATGCTCCCAATAGTGGAACGCGAGTGTGATGAATGGAAGTCTATCCCCTGCTCCATGTCGCACAGAGCATATCTGTGTGAAGTACAAAAGTTCCTTTCCAAAGTGTCCTTTCTTGTTAAAGAATAACTGTGCTCATAACTCTCTGTGAAGCCCCCTCCTGTGTAGCTGTTAGACACGCCGTGCTCACGAGCACGTAGTACATTCTACGTCCTGTACTTTCACCGAGATACCTGTGCTGGACGTGCCCACAGGCGTGTCCCAGCTCTCCGTGGCTGTCACCTGTTCAGAAAAGATTTAAGTTGTCAGCCGATCGGGTTTTAGTTCAGATGGTGAGGTCTGGCTCCAGCCCACGGAGCTCAGACACGGCAGGAAGGACGACCCCACGCGCGTCAGGGATACATGTGTGTGTTTTCCTTTGT